TTAAATATTTAAAATGATTGCTTTCTATTTTAATATATTTTAGAATTTAATTTATTCCTGTGATGGCAAAACTGAATTTTCAGCAGCCATAACTCCAATTTTCAGTATCACATGATCCTTCAGAAATCATTCAAGTATAAAAACAATCTAAAACGTATATTAATAAATACATATACAATTATATAAATGTATATTATTTAAAATATACAATATGAATTATTAATTTATTTATATTTATGAATTTTATGAATTTATACACACACACACATATACAGTATATATATATATACAAAGTAATCTTTCAACAATTCAAAATGCACTGTTTAGGATGACAAAAATTCTGTAATAATAGAGAAGTGTATGAAGCATCATTGGGGTTGGGCATCCCTGGGGGTTGTTCTCTTCTGTGATGTTGTGTGTCTGAAAATAGAGGGTGTAGACGCTAATCTGTTACTACCTATAATCTGCAGGGTAGGATCCTGACCTTATGCTTGTGCATGTGTCTACTTGTGCATGTGTGTGTGTGTGTGTGTGGTGGGGGCCGCCCTTAGGGAGTTGCAACTGGTGCAGACCGAAGGGGACCAACCCACATGACGGCCCTGTGTGTGTGTGTTATGAATGTACACAATCTGTTGGATGTTAATAGTGAAAGGGGATTCAGTACGTTTCTTGAAGTTGGGCAAGTCTAGGCAGAGCTGTATATGTTTGTCTATGGTTTCTGGGTTTGTCTGTTTATCTAACTTTTTTGCAAGATAATCTGAGGAACAATAAGAGTGATATTGTGCTTCATCCAAAAATTCAGCTTTAAAGTATTTCTTCTTTGGAAACATGCTTCATTTATGTACTTAGTTGACTCATACTTTGCAAACAGTCTTTAAATGCATTTAGTGAGAATTGTGAAAAGCGTGTTAAAGTATTAAAGCCTTCCTCTCAGTAATGACAAACATTGCAGAATTTATTTATGCTGACTAAGCATCGCATGTGAAACTATTGCATTGTGGGAGGTTGTGGGAGTGGTTGCACTTAAATCCTTCAAAAAGGGTTTAAGCTGAAAGATGGCTAAATCAATACAAGTATGGTCTCAAGGTAAGATTTTTTTTTTTTTTAATTATCAAAGTTTAAAATGAATAACAATAAAGTTATTTACAATGAGCAATTTGTGCATAAGGCACTATACGCTCGCAGAAAAAAGGTATAAAAGCTCACTGGGGCGGTAACTTTTCAAAAGGTACACCTTTGTACCCTTTTTCGAAGGCTGCATTTTGGTACCTTAAAGGTACATTTTAGTGCCTAGTGTACTTATTAGTACCTAAAAGGTACATATTAGTACCTTTTTCAAGGGTCCTGCCCCAGTGACAGCTTTTGTACCTTTTTTTCTGAGAGTGTAGAGGCAATACTCAAAACTTATCCAACTGTGGGTAGTTAACAAATTCTACGGATGTGAACTTTTCCCAACAGATATTATAGGTTAATATTTATTTTAAATGTGTATAAAGTAATTTTAGTAACCACTTCTATTATTTTTTTAGTCAATTTTAATCAATTATTTATTTAATCAATTATTCAACCATTTGAATCACTTTTTAGCTTGTTGAAGTTTACTTAAAGTTGGCATGAATGTTTTTAAATGCATATTACACATCTTATTGTGAATGATTCATCCATGTGGATGTTTCATTTTTTTTTTTAAATGTCTCTCTGGTGTTGTTCACTGGACTTCACCAATAATTCAGTTTGCTTAAATCCCGCACCTTCACAATCGACTCTGCAAACTTGAATTCATGGTTGAGTGCGAGGGCCACATCTCAAAATCTATTCTATTTTTTTGATAATCAGTTTCACTTGGGTGTACACCACAATATGGACGAAAAGATCTGTGCATGGCTACTTCCATTTCATTGTGACTCTAAATAGTCCTGTGGTGTCACACAAGCAATATATTTAATGTAATCTTTCATTTGATCAGATGTCATACAAATGCGTCTTTATTAATTGTACAAAAATAACATACAACAATAACATATCACTGCCTGGCACAATGTTATCTACGTCTGCACACATCCACTTATTCCTGTAGCACTGGATCAGCTTTAGGTTTCATGTTTGATAACATGTTTCAATATGGTGAATTTATCTTGAAATGTACTTATTTATTCTCACTGATGCATGATTTATAAGTAACACAGGCCACTGACCTCAGTGATGCCCTCAAGGCTGGTACAGACCTGTCAGTTTTCTTACTTGATCCTCCATTATCTTACCTCTGAAACCAGTGAGTGAGAAAAGTCTGCACTTGAGTCTAAATAATCTACGTAATCAGAGACTTGATTTCCTGAATCAGTTACTTGAATCATCATTTTTTTGGGGTTACACTTTATTTTAAGGTACCTTGTTGCAGTGTAACGTGCTTATAGGGTTAGTTGCATCGAAATATTCACAATTTACTGTTATTACTAGTAGTAATGTAATATGGAATGTGTAACAGTGTTACCCTTTTTAACCAAAATTAAATCAATTCAAGTGTTGTTTTTTTAATACAGGAAATCATTCATTTCAAAGATGCATATAAATTACTTTATTAAATTATTAACTTTAACTTTGGATTGTGTATGTTTTGATGTACCTTAGGTCAAATATCTGCATTACACATTTGATGCACACGCAGGCATCACACATTTGATGCACCACATGCTGGTGTTACTTAATCAAGCTGCATGACCCTTGAGAACTGTAGTAATTTAGTTAGCCTTTCCTAATGAGCAGTGCCTTGCCACATAACATATTCAGGAAAAATCTGATTTTGACAAAAGATTATTTGTTAATCATGTTCAATATCAGTTTCAGATTTCTAGAGATGCATATTATTGCACATCAACACCAGACCACGAAATCAATCTAATTTCAAAGCCTTAGGTTTCCAATGCAATTATGTATAGGAAGTTACTAACATAATAAATGCATGTGATGTTTTAAAACTGACACTCTGTGTACATGCAGTACTTTCACATGAGAATGTGTGTGTTTGTGTGAACCATGTCTATGTATGAGGGATTAGAAAGGTTTGGAACAGATTAGTTAATTATAGACACCTGTCTGCTAAGCATGGAGACTGGAGTCAGGTGGATGAGCTTGAAGAGTGTGCTGGACAGCATTCAGCGTGGTGCAGCACAGGTGTGGGGTGGGGGGGCAGACAGCAGATGTGAGACCATGTGCCTGTACACATTCCTTGCATGTGGCCTCAGATCAGCCTCTCCACTTGCACAAAATGAGTGTTTCATACTCTGGTGGACTACAGAAAGATTAAGTTTTAAAGGACAAACTTTTAATGTATTCTGTATTTAGTCATCATTTTGTCTTTTTTATGCACTGTAATATTTTTTTTTTTTGCCTAATTAATTGCCTTAAATTAACTGATTTCTAAAATCCCCAAAAGGACAAGCACTTAAATCTTTAAATAACCTGCAGACGAACTGTTGTTGCTCACCTCAGACTTCATGTCAGTGAGATGGAGCTAATGTAGTCACTAATGAGATTAGATTAAACAGTTTTTACATAAAAGGACAAATGTATAATCTTAGCAATAAATGTGTGAGCTATTATCAGAATTAATAATCACAGATCAAATCTTTTGGACTTGTTCTGCATTATTTAATCAAGTAAATTTTTAATCAGTCAAATGCTATTATTTACCATTTGAAACCAAAACACTCATTCGCACCTTGACTTTTCCTACATGCTCTCAACTGTTGTGCAACGCAATTACTGCTGTGCTCAATGGCTAAAATTAACCAGTTACCAGGCTTTTATCTCATTAGGGCTTGGCATCATTCAGCTTTTTAATCTTGTCCAGATGAGCCTGAGTCCAGCTAGTCTGATAGGTCACATTGTACACAAACTCTAAAGGATCTATTATCTGATGTGTTAAGAATTTTCTTGATAGTTGTTTTTGTTGCATGTGTAGTAATATTTTTTTCTTTGCATTTCCTTTAATTTTCCATGCAGGTAATGATTATTGGATAGTGCTGGTCAAAAAAAAGGCCTACATACTGTATATCAATTGTCATCCTGCAAGAAAGACATACAACTTAATTGAAACTTATCTGGACATACTAAAACATTCTGTTGCATGCATGTGCCCAATTACTGAAAGACTTCAGGTTATGTAACCAAACAAGGTTATCTCTGTTGAGATGGGGGGGGGGGGGGGGGGGGTGCTGGTTCAAAAAAAACAAGACTTTTAAGAACCTTTTAATCCAGACCACAGTAAAGCTAAACTCTCGTGTCATGTGACAAGACATGATCACTTGTAGTAGTTATACAGCTGGTAGATGAAAGTAAAGAAATAATGACAGGCATGTTAAAGTGATGGTATTCCCAGAAAACCCATGTACTGCTGATATGATCTGTACTCTCACATTTCTGACCTTCCCTAAACTTCTATAAGATCAGCAAAAAAGGCCATTACAATTAAACTAGATTGATATTATAGTGCAGTACTTAAAGAAATCCACAAAAGTCATTGTAGAAAATATGTGTCATGGTGTTTTATTTATTTTTTTAACCTTGTGGTTACTGTTGTGGTTACTGTTTCATATCAGATATACATGGACAGGTACTCAGAAGCTCAAACACATTCTTTTTGCATGTTTTGTTCAGTGTGAAATGTATATTTGCATTCCACTCTGTGGTTCACATACTTTGATTGCATTTGTACAATATGTGCAGATAAAAACGTTAGATGTAAATGCAAGAATTGCACAGCATTGTCATTCGGTGTCATTGCGTTTGCAGCATGTCATACACAAACGTATCTTGGTCACACATACTGACACCAACAACAATTTGTATTTCTAGCAAAAATGAATGAATTTTGTGTAAAGTGGTAATTTTCAGAAGGACATGAAATCACAAACGTAGCTAGTGGTGTTTGCTAGTGTTCCTCGATTAGATAATTTATATTGACATACTTTACTGTATGCTCCACTTCTTCTGTCCACCAGTGCCAACAAAATGCAGAAGCAAGTGGAAATCAGAATGCATGAGAATCATCTGGACCCTCCTTCACCACCTGAAGAGTCCATGTGTGGAGGCTGCTGTGACAAAATCATGAAGAATCTGATACTCATGCTCACAATTCTTGGCAAGTTACTTTAGCATTTTTGCATTTTAGTTTGTACTGTAGGTGAATGTAGCACCTAGGTGTCAATTTGCTAATGAAAGAACACTTGTTACTGTTTATGGTAAAATATAATTTTTTATTGCAGTATTTTCAGTTATAACTAAGGAGCTTTTTTTTTTTTTGCAAATTTGCAAAAAGAATGCATTGCAGCTGTCCATTTATTAGACTCAGTTATTTCATTAAAGCACTAAGCATGTTAAAACACTGTTGGTCTGTTAATATTTTTTTGCATTACCTGATACTCAGTGCTACTCATCAGACAATATGTTAATATTCGGTACTGTGTAGCTGAAACGCGTAGATCTACACTTTTAACAGTATTAATCTTTTGAGTATTTGAATATATATATATATATATATATATATACACAACAGTTACTTGTGGTCCTCAGATCTGATTGGCTGTGAGAAGTCTTCCCAGACATGAGATTTAAATGTAAAAAAATGTATAATAATAATAATAATAATAAATTCTAAATGTATTCTTTGAATAAGTATTTCCTTCAGCTGGTTGAATCAAGCATCTTTAAATTAAAGTTTTGTGAATGTTGTGAATACTTTACAAAAGCTTCAGTATTATTTTTCAGTGAAATGTCCCAATGCTCATTGTGATTCTCTGTCTGTATTTTAGGTGTGATCATTGGTTCAGTAGCTGGTATTCTACTGCGGTATGCATCCCCACTCCCTCCTGATGTCATTATGGTCATTGCCTTCCCGGGTGACATTCTCATGAGGATGTTAAAAATGGTGATTTTGCCTCTGATCATCTCAAGTTTGATCACAGGTACTGTTATATGCTTTGCTAAACACCTCCAACAATACTATCAGCACAAAACAATAATACCCCCTTTTTTCTTCTTCTTTTTCTGCTGTGTGTTTGATGTTAAACCATCAAAAATGCAAGAAAAAAAGAAAACAGTTGTAGAAATAATGCCTGCAATGACATCAGAGTTCAAGTTATAACCACAGTGTTATAGCTTTTATAGTTTAACCAAGGAATATCAAAAGAAATAGTACTTTTGTAATGATTAAGCCATCGTTTGCCTTTTGACTTTTTCTTTGTAATCCAGTGTAAGGGGGGAAAAAAGCATGCCTTTCAAATTTTAGGGTGGATCAGTTTCAGCAGCTCATGAACAGAACAATTTTAAACATGTTACCGAAAAAGAGGTGCAATTCGAAAATTAAAAACGCTCTGGATTCATTACTCATTCAGAAATAATTATGAAACTTAATCTTGAGAAATAACTTTTGTGTGTAAATTTTAGTGTACAATGCTTTAGTAGTTTAAAAAAGAAAGAGTAATGGTGCCCTGTGAAGTAGTATTTATGTAGTAATATTTAATGTAGTTTAAATGCCATGCTCTTTATTTTTTAGGATTAGCAGGGTTGGATGCCAAGTCCAGTGGTCGTCTAGGCACAAGGGCCATGGTGTATTACATGTCTACCACCATCATTGCAGCTATGTTGGGGGTGATCTTAGTGCTCCTCATCCACCCTGGTAACCCCAAACTGAAGGCAAACCTCGGTGAGGGGAAAAAAAACGATGAAGTGTCCAGTTTAGATGCCTTCTTTGATCTCATCAGAAATCTGTTTCCAGAAAATCTCGTTCAGGCTTGTTTTCAGCAGGTGTGTGGGTGTCCAATGTGCTTTTGATTTCATATAATTTCATCCATTTAATCTCAGCCATTTCGGTTGATCTTTCATCTGTTAATTTTGACGAGTCTTTCGGTAATATTTAATTAACAGTTCTTCTATCTCTTTATGTAGATCCAGACTGTTAGTAGCAAGGTAGAAGTAGGTCCTCCTCCACATCCAAATCGGTTTGGACGAAATGCAACCAAGAGCGCAGCAAAATATGTGATTAAGAAGTCTCTTCAATTCAAGAGTGGCATGAATGTTTTAGGTAATGAATGGCTTTATCACATAGTATATGCATGAACTTGTCATTTATGTACTTCAAATTAACATGGTGGCAATGTGTGTCTCTGTAGGTCTCATTGGGTTCTTTGTGGCATTCGGGATTTGCATGGGAAAGATGGGAGAAAGGGCCAAGCTGATGCTTGAGTTCTTCAACGTTCTCAACGAGATCGTTATGAAGCTTGTCGGCATGATCATGTGGTCAGCTTTTATGATTGTTAATGACGTAAATGAGTAAAGTTTACATGATTTCCATTCCCAACATTAATTATCTGTATGTACACTACCATTCAAAGGTTTGGGGTAATTTTAAGAAAGTATTTTTCAAAATACGTCTCTTATGCTCACCAAGTTTGCATTAGTTGATCAAAAATACAGTAAAAATGTGAATATTATAAAATGTTACTACAATTTTATAAAATTGTTTGCTATTTTAATGTATTTTATACCTGTGACGACAAAGCTGTATTTTCAGCAGCCATTACTCCAGTTCAGTATCACATGAGCCTTCAGAAATCATTCTATAATGCCGATTTGGTGCTCTTTTTTTTTATTGTTTTTAATTATTGTTATTCTGATTATTATTTATGTTGAAAAGAAATCTGTGCTGCATGGTGATACATAAAAAGTTCAAAATAACTAGAAATAGAAATATAAATATTTTCTAACTTTATAAATGTACTGTCACTTTTGTTTAGTTGTGTCCTTGCTGAGTAAAAGTATTATTATTAACTCTAAGGGCCCTATCATACACCCGGCGCAATGCGGCGCAAGGCACGGCGCAAGTGTTTTTATTAGTTTCAGCCCGAAGCAGTTCTCATTTTCCTGTCCTGCGCCGCGTTGTTTACATAGCAAATGCATTTGCACCCATTTGTGCGCCCATGGGCGTGCTGGTCTAAAAAAGGAGGTGTGTTCATGCGCATTGTTGGCGCGTTGCTATTTTTAGGAACTGAAAATAGACTGCGCCATACCAACTCAAACCTGGTCTAAAGTCTGGCGCAATATTTTTCCTTTGTTATTTAAAGAGCGCGTTAGTAATATGCGCCTATAGGCGGGTGCACAACGCGCGTACACTTTGCTTATTACACACACAGGGACGCGCAGCAGCACACATACATTTTTAAAAATAAAAAATTACATTCCGCCACGTAAACAGCGAACCCGCCATGGCGCGAGCACAACTGGCTTTTAAAGAGGATGGGAGATGCGACTCTGATTGGTTTATTGCACGTTACGCCCAAAAAACACCCATTACTCATTAAGAAAATAGGGACAACCCTTTAGACCATGCGCCCTGGCGCGCCTACAGTTTTCCCGTCGTTAAAGTAGCAAAAGTGGAGTCGGACACACCCTGAGTGCACCTGCGCCGTGCTTAGATCGTTAAAATAGGGCCCTAAAAGTATTATTTTAACTCTTACTGAACCCTGGGGGAAGTCGTGGCCTAATAGTTAGAGAGTTTGGACTTGTTAACCAAAGGTTGTGGGTTCGAGTCTTGTACCGGCAGGGATTGTAGGTAGCGGGAGTGAGTGTACAGCGCTCTTGCCCACCTTCAACCCTGAGTGCACCTGCGCCGTGCTTAGATCGTTAAAATAGGGCCCTAAAAGTATTATTTTAACTCTTACTGAACCCTGGGGGCAGTCGTGGCCTAATAGTTAGAGAGTTTGGACTTGTTAACCAAAGGTTGTGGGTTCGAGTCTTGTACCGGCAGGGATTGTAGGTAGCGGGAGGGAGGGAGGGAGGGAGTGAGTGTACAGCGCTCTTGCCCACCTTCAATACCACGACTGAGGTGCCCTTGAGCAAGGCACCAAACCCCCAGCTGCTCTCCAGGGTCACCATACTTGGCCACATGTCATGTCACTTTTTTTTTTTACTTTTCTCCCAAACTTTTGAAAAGTAGTGTAATGATGGTGACTTTAACAGTTTAACTGCCTTTAACTGTCTGATTAACCTGTTAGTTGACTTTACTCCACATCTCTGTCCTGTAACAGGTATTCCCCCATTGGTATTGCGTGTTTGATCTGTGGCAAGATCATTTCAATTAATGATTTGGAAATGGTGGCCAAGCAGCTGGGAATGTACATGGTCACTGTCATCGTTGGACTTATTATTCACGGAGGGATTTTCCTTCCCTTAATATATTTTATTTTTGTTCGGAAAAACCCATTCACGTTCTTCATGGGAATTTTCCAGGCATGGGTCACCGCTTTAGGAACAGCTTCAAGGTAAATAACAAAATTTTCTATAACTGTGCCTTGTTTTTTGTAAACCTTTGAGAATTAGGACACATATTGAGTTAAATAAAGAGAAGGCAATTATTTAATTTGACATGTTTGGAAGTTGAGTTATGAATAATGACAAGAATCTGTTCTGAAATCTTGATATGTGTCTTTTGTAGTGCTGGGACATTACCTGTTACTTTCCGCTGTCTGGAGGAAAATCTGGGCATCGACAAGAGAGTGACTCGTTTTGTATTACCTGTTGGAGCAACAATCAACATGGATGGTACAGCACTTTACGAGGCTGTAGCGGCCATCTTTATTGCCCAGATGAATGGAATAGAACTTGATCCTGGTCAGATTGTGACAGTGAGGTAAGACAACATGTCTGGACGCAGAAATGAATATACTTTGCAAAAATGCTATTCTGATGGCATGTACCTGCTGAGCTGAGTCACTGCAGGTAGCTTTATAAAATTAAAGGAATAGATTTTCCAAAAATGAAACTTTAGTAATTATTTGTCCTCACATCATTCCAAACTTGTTTAGTGTTATGTTTTTCCCATTAAACAAAAACAGTTTTTGCCATACAATGACAGTTCATAGTAATCATGTCTTCAAGCTCTCATGATGATATCAAAAAAGCACCAGAAAAGTAGTCTAATATGAATTGTGCTCTGTCCTGGGTACATCTGGATCATTGAGTCAGGAAAGAATAGTACAATTTGATTTGTGAATTCTATTAACCAGGTCATTGAAAAGAATCGGCTCAAAGTAGTGGTTTCTTTAATGAACTGGACTGATCTACTTTTCAAATCTTTGACTTATTCTATCAGGTAGCAGCCGCTAGCAACTCATTAGCAGGAGTGATTATTAGTAAATGAAGAATTACATTTCAGTGTGTTTGTCATATAAAACTATCATACTGTTTCAGAAGACTAGGAAATATATTATTTCTAGCTTATGGTCAGTATGAACTGTATGAACGATAGCTGCATGAGGATTCTTTGAAAGCTCTCTTTCTCAGTTCTACAGAAAACACATCACAGCATATGGTTTTGGACTGACATTAGGGTGAATAAGTAATGACAGCTTGGACCTTTTTAGCAGATTTATTCCTTTATGATCAGTATACTTGTTTGAAGCAAACTATTGATAAAATCACATTATACGATTTTCCAAGTGAGAATGAGTCATGTGATGTATTAAAGTTTGCAGTTATCAAATGAACGATCTTATCAAATGAAATATTTCTGTTTTGTTTGTAGCCTTACGGCGACTCTCGCTAGCGTAGGAGCAGCAAGTATTCCCAGTGCTGGCCTGGTGACGATGCTTCTGATCTTGACAGCTGTGGGTCTACCGACTCAAGACATCAGTTTGCTGGTAGCAGTCGACTGGCTGCTGTAAGTTAAACCAATCTCTCTCTCTCTCTCTCTCTCTCTCTCTCTCTCTCTGCTCTTTCAGTGGAAAAAAAAAATTAACTCATGAAATAGTTGCCAATCAAGGACACAATCTATATTATATGATCTAGATATGATATGCAAATGATCCCCAGATTAAGATTTGTTGTTAAAGCAAATCTCAAGGCATGTTTAGGCATTTGCTTTGCATGTTAGTACAAGTCCTAATGACATTTGGAGTCGTTTAGTATTGAGAGATGTGGCACCTTTCTTTGTTTCCTTCTGCTTTATCAAACAGTGATCGTTTCCGAACATCAGTCAATGTCGTTGGTGACTCGTACGGGGCGGGAATCGTGTACCACCTCTCCAAAGATGAGCTTGACCTGTTCGATGCACAGCAGATAAGGCCAGATGACTTTGAGATGGCCAAGACACAATCCTTTTTTGAGAATAACACTAACCACGGTGTATATGCATCTCACAACTCCTATCAGCCGGTCCAAATAGATGACTGCAAGGTACATTTTACTCTCACAGACATAGAAACCTGTATGTAGATGCTTTTATTTCTTTCCCCGACATTGTATGTACCGTTGTGATTTTTTATTTATTACACTTTTGTATTTTTTGGTCATTCCGGATGTGAATGCATAATACATTAAACAGAATGAAGGAATAAATAAATATGGTTTATTTATTTGTTCTGGTCCTTGGTGAAATAGCAGTTTTTGTACAGACTTTGTATGTCCATATCAGTATCTGGATATCATCAGTTTGGCAATTATACACATGAGCACAGTAAATCGTTCAAATGTTTGTATAGTACTAATGCCAAGATGCCTTTCTCTGTTCTCAACCAAAAATGAAAGCGAAACAAAGCAGTGTATTAATGCACGCCTCATTTTTACCATCTACATTTTGAGACAACAAAGGCTGCTATTTCATTTCTTTCAAGCTCAATGGTTTTAAAACTGCAGCTGTTTTCTTTCTTTTTTGTGAATTTTATGCCTCTTTTTGACCCTGTGTTTCACAAATGCATAGGTCTGTGTGGTAGCCCATGTGGCACTTTTTCACAAACCCTTTAGAAGATTAGTTTTGGGCAGAGATTCACTGTAATTAGTAAAAATAAATAAAATACAAAGTTTATATTTATAAAATATAATGATTCAAATGATTTTCTCTATCTGTATTCAGTCTTTCAGCATTCTGTAAGGAATCCCGCTGCAGCTAATTATTATCTGTCCGGTGGTGGGTACATTTCTGTGAATTCGGATATAAATTGTGCTGTTAAAATATCAAACTACCTGGATTCTCTGCTCCAAACCATAAACAGTTTAGTAAGCACTGGTTAATGCATTTTGACTGTGCCTTGGTTCAATAGTTAGTTGTTCCTGATAATTGCTTTCAGGTAACCTTGGCCTCAAATGGCTCCCCTGCGGACTTCTCACTTGTTGAGGAGGAACCATGGATACGCGAGTAACACAGATCCAGCTCCGCCTTATCCTGAGTACCACACATGCCCATGTGGCACTTTTTCACAAACCCTTTAGAAGATTAGTTTTGGGCAGAGATTCACTGTAATTAGTAAAAATAAATCAAATACAAAGTTTATATTTATAAAATATAATGATTCAAATTATTTTCTCTATCTGTATTCAGTCTTTCAGCATTCTGTAAGGAATCCCGCTGCAGCTAATTATTATCTGTCCGGTGGTGGGTACATTTCTATGAATTCGGATATAAATTGTGCTGTTAAAATATCAAACTACCTGGATTCTCTGCTCCAAACCATAAACAGTTTAGTAAGCACTGGTTAATGCATTTTGACTGTGCCTTGGTTCAATAGTTAGTTGTTCCTGATAATTGCTTTCAGGTAACCTTGGCCTCAAATGGCTCCCCTGCGGACTTCTCACTTGTTGAGGAGGAACCATGGATACGCGAGTAACACAGATCCAGCTCCGCCTTATCCTGAGTCCCGCAAGCTTATCCTTTCTGGTGAAAACCAAATGCTAATTTTGTACATATAAACAGTCAGAAGTTACCACAGACAGAACTTTTCATATGCACAAGCATTGACTTTTGTATGACAATCTCAGTACATTTGATACACAAAAGGAAGAGAACGTAGCTCAAGTAGCGGGTGGTTCAGTTGGGATAAAGGGCAGGCTACATTTTAAGCTGTTATTATTTACACTCAAGGATTACGATAGTTAGAATTCTAGGCCTTGGGTTTGAGGATTGGTCTGAAACCTGCTGCCTTAAGGCTTCCGCATAGAAGGATCGCAATGGTTTGTCCAGCCCCAGATTGACCCTAGAGCACTACTAGTGGCAGGAGGAGAGAAGTGCAGCTTGTTTGCTGAAGATACCTTTGACTGGCTCAGCTTAGGGGGATTAACCCTTGGTGGCAGCACTCCAGATCAGCCTCTTATAAGAGCTTACCAATGTACTTAGAGGTTCTGAAATAGTGGTTTGCCCCCAAATGCTGCCACTTATTTTTAGATGCTGCCCGACGTAAATGCCACGTCAGCAATTACAGAGCGATCAGAAATGAAGTATGACATTGAGTAAATTGACGTTACTGCAAGGACTGTTGAGTTTAATATCCTGCATAGTGGACTAAATAGTTTTCATTCAGACTTTAATAAGTGTCCATGCGTGTTTATGTTTGAGGGAAGGGACTTGCATGTGTGTAGGTTTTGTATGTATCTGTGTGCTTTAAGTTGTCAATTTATTTATGTATTTATTTGCTAAGTTACAATCTTGCCTTGAAGATTTCAACTGCAAACTGCAGACAGAAGACTATGACATTAATATTAAATGCAATCCTATTTTCTTGGACCTTAGACCAGTAATAGTGTTTCATTCTCTGAGGAGCCTTCTTGGATACTCCGATATTATGTCCAGTTGAATGGATTCTATATTCACGCTGATAAGAGAGGCCCTCAAGTTATTTGGTGCTCAGGTTGTTAGCATATAACAGAAAAGAGATGTCAGAATTGAGATCTATTATTACATTTGCACCACTTATTTGGTAGTCTGCTATTACTTCATCGATCGGCGTTCCTCTTTTGTACCAGAATCTTAAAATGTTCTCATTAAAGTGCCTCCTTGCACTTTCTGTATATAAATAAATACACATGTATGTGGTTCTATTTTAGATATATTTTTCATGCAAATCAAAGTGTAGAATTTCATTGCATTTTGCCTATTGTTTTATAAAACAATGGCAATCTATGTATTCTAATTCAGTATTTTACTAGGTAGATTAGATTGTAACAGGTTGTCTTAAGTAGTTATTGCTATAATACAGCACAAGTCACAGGGAACTTGCTGTGAAACATTGATGAGAAAAAATGTATGTATATTAATGTAAGCATATGTTTCACTGTTACAATTCATGATGATATTGTATCTCAAATATTGTGTATTGTTAAACATTCTGGTAGGAATAATGACTCTAGGGGAAAAAGTCAAATTAATAATCAATTTAAACCAGGCTTGTTACAGATTTAACAGCCTTGTAGAGTACAGAGATCTTGAGTATGTATCTTAAGGAAATTATACACAACCTAGATACAGTATCTATAATATAAAAGTGTGCACTGTTAGAATATCTGTTCAGGCAGGGCCTGACACATATGTAGATGTACAGTGATTTATGTTAACAAAAATTGTATCATTCTGCTTTTTTTTTTTTTTTTGCAGCCCTGTTTGGTTTCGAAGATATTGTATTACTTGTCTACCAAACTTGATTTTGCATCAACTTTTTAAATTGGTCTTTTTCCTCTATTTTTCTATGAAAAAGCTATAACAGAATGGAAATAAAGTCAATGCTTCTTGTCTCAGTGGCGTTTCTTTCTTTCTTTCTCCAAATCTTTGGCAGTGATGCACAATAAATAAAATGTAAAAGGGTAAATTGTATTTATCATATGATTTTATATCTCACTCATTAATTTTTACATCCAGCTTCTATAACTGAACTAATTAATTAAAGTTCCCATACCTTGTTCAAATTTCATGTTTTATTGAAAGACTCATCCCACCCAAAATGTGCTCTGAGAGCTTGACAAAATACATCTTTATGGGTAATTTAAAAAATGAAATGGTTTACAATTGCTTCATTGCTTTACAAACTGCATAGGGTTTCTTATAAAATACAGGGCAATGTCTAACATTCAAAAAATGCATCATATCTCACACAGTACATAGTACTTACGAACAGATGAAAATTTGACAAAATACATCTTTATGGGTAATTTAAAAAATGAAATGGTTTACAATTGCTTCATTGCTTTACAAACTGCATAGGGTTTCTTATAAAATACAGGGCAATGTCTAACATTCAAAAATGCATCATATCTCACACAGTACATAGTACTTACGAACAGATGAAAACCAGTATAAAAATGTTTTCTCACCATATCATTATTAACCATCATTCAGTAAGAGATAATAAGCATTTATTTATTACTGAGAAAAAAAATACTTTATATTAGAAAATAAATGTGAAATACGAAGCATTTTGAAGCAACAAAAACGGAAGCAAATTGCATTAAAAATCATAAAAAAACATCACTAGTGCAAATAAAAAGAACAAAAGAGTTTAAACCTGTTAATACACAGGATTTAAAGCATTACATTAAATACTCTTTCTCACGCTCATCCAGACAGGCAGCAATGTCCTCCATTTTACCATTCTTCAGCTTCGCGACACTCATCAGTGCCACTATCTCCTGTTCTTTCTCTGACAGAGGCAGTGTTTCTGATTTACTGTAGTCTTTGTTGTGCACTTCAGTAGTGATGTTTCTGCTCTGTCTCGGTCCGTACCACCTAGGTAAAGACTTACATTTAGTAAACTGAAGCCAGGCTGCAATGGCTGATGAATGTGATGAATTCAATCAATGAAAAAAAATCTAACAAGCAAGCTTACTTGTCTCTAGTAGCAATAGCAACAATTATGCATACTATGACTCCAACAACAACACAGAATGCAAAGATTATCAGCAAAGCTGTAGAAGGGAGAAAATGGTAAATTGACAGATTACATTATGTCAGTTGAATGAAAAGTCAAGAAGTGCTGTAGTGCTGTCACAAGAACTTACTAGATGGTCCGTCTTTCTTTTCTTGGCCACTCTGTGTGCCTGCAGAAGATACATTTGTAATGAGACTTGATGACTTAACATACTGTATTATATAACATCATTACAAAGTTTATATCAACATATTAAGCAAATACATTATGTACCACATGATATTAAAAATGAATATTAATTATAATGCAGCTTATTTATATAACTATCGTCAACTATCCTATGGAAGCTAAATGTTTTTGGCTTAGACTAAAAATAAAAAAGGTAATTGGAGATTAAGTTGAAATATAGTAATATTGTGCCATACAAAGTCAAACTGTAAAATATTAAGACAGAATTATGAGAAATATCATTGTGTGATATAAAGTTACAATTACATTTTTTTTAGTTACATTTGCTTTACTCTGAAGTGGAACAGGCTTCCATAGCAACCAGGCACATGTCTGCCACACAGTTCTCACTGGCACTATGTTGGCCTTTATGATCCCCCACCAACCCCAACAATATCCATTATATAAGGGTCAGGATTGTTAAGGATATTTACCTTCAAGACTGGCTTCCATTTTTCGACCTTTGATTACAACAATTGAAGTTTTTTATATCAACATATTAAGAAAATACATTATGTACCACATGATATTAAAAATGAATATTAATTATAATGCAGCTTATTTATATAACTATCGTCAACTATCCCATGGAAGCTAAATGTTTTTGGCTTAGACTAAAAATAAAAAAGGTAATTGGAGATTAAGTTGAAATATAGTAATATTGTGCCATACAAAGTCAAACTGTAAAATATTAAGACAGAATTATGAGAAATATCATTGTGTGATATAAAGTTACAATTACATTTTTTTTAGTTACATTTGCTTTACTCTGAAGTGGAACAGGCTTCCATAGCAACCAGGCACATGTCTGCCACACAGTTCTCACTGGCACTATGTTGGCCTTTATGATCCCCCACCAACCCCAACAATATCCATTATATAAGGGTCAGGATTGTTAAGGATATTTACCTTCAAGACTGGCTTCCATTTTTCGACCTTTGATTACAACAATTGAAGTTTTCTCAATTTCATTTGGCATGGATGTACTCTCAGCTGCCTCTGTGGCAGTCATTGTTATTGTGAATAGACTAGACTCAGGATCTGTAAACAATGTCTCATTATCTGATGCTGATCCACTGCCCTCTGTATCAGAGAACAAAACACTGGAGGTAACAGGGGACGAGCTCTTCACAAAACGGGGCTTGCTTGTAGGGCCCTTGCTGTCTTCATTGTGTGTCGTTGTAGAGGGTTCCTCCAAGGCATGCACAGTTGAGGATTTCACGGGGACCTCCATGTCATTCAGAACAGAAGTTTCTCTTTTTACTCTTCCCATTATCTCCTCCACATCTACTAGAAAGCCTTCAGTCTCGACCTCCGTAAGAATGTCTTCATGTGAATTTTCATCTTCGCAAGAAAACAGATAAAGGATTACTGCCAAAAAACGTACAGTGTTTTGCATTTCTGTGCTGATAGCAAAGCAAAATAAAAGAGTGGAATGTCGAGATACTTTGCTGCGTTGGTACAGAGTGAATGGTTAAGCAAGAAACAATAATGAACAAGGAATCACTTCCTGAGTACTCAAATAAAATCAGCAACTTTTTGTTCCTTCTTCTTTGTGGTACTGCAGGTGCGTAAAAAATGCATGAGGTCACATAAATATGACTAATACTTTGGATTAGGTGTGGTTGGATAATGAACAACGAATTGTATGTCTGCTGCATGCTTTGCTTCTTCACAATACACACCCCTCAACTCAAAGGGTAAAGTTAATGCACCAAAAGATTAAGCCATTTAAGGCAAAAAGTCTACAATAAAGCACATGATATCAAAATCTAATTCTAGGTACTGCAAGGAATTATAGAGGGAACGTACTTGCTGTGGCTGTGTTTCCATTGGTTAAGTCTTCAGAGTTAGATTTACCAGTATCTTCACAGTTTAGTGATGCGTCTTTGTAGGAGGGAAATCAAAAGTCAATAAGACAAAACCTGTTTGGAGTATGTTTGTTTTTATGGTGTTTCTCAGTAAGATACCCCATTTTCTTTACACCCTCACCTGATGGGTTAAAGCAGTAGACATCAGAAAGATACCCTGCTGCTTCAGGATGGAAGGTGATCTCGGTGGAACTGGAGTCACAGTTTGGACCATTAACGTGTGGGAGGAACATAACATTTTGTCCATCTATCCAGCCAAATCTAAACAAAGGTGTGAGGTTCATTTAAAAATTAAGTACTGCCATTAGTCAATATCAAAAGAAGCACTTTTATGTCCGAACATGTTATTTAGCTCTAGGCTATTGTACACAGCCTGCTTTCTTTACCTGCATGTTCTCAAGCCTTTTTTATAAGCGTCATTGACCTGTTCCTGTGTTGCGAGTTTGTAATCAAAACTCTGACACAATTCCAAAGCTTGATGGAAAGTAAGAGAGTAACGGCTGGTTCCCTCAACAAGGAAAACACCGGCAAAGCTGCATCTGCCACTGGAACCTGTCGAAAGGGAAACTAATGTGAATATTCAAAATCAGAAATCTTTATTTATTTATTCATTGTTTTCCATGTGATCGTACTAATTATTAGTTTGTAAACGAGGGCCAGATGTGTGTGTGACGGATGAGCAATTTAGCATTAGGTATCATTAGATAAATCTCTTAATGACTCATTGCATGTGCAGACGTGAGCACATCTGTAACACATCTAGGCCATCTGTAATCCACTGACTTTGTAAATGACCTCTCGTTTTTGTCTCAGAATAACACGTTTAGACCAGCATATGATTTTAAAGACATCAGTTAGTGATATGAACAAGTGATAAATAGTGTGCAGAATAAGTGAGTTTAATGTGACTAGAAGAAACCAGGTATGCTACTAGATGGATTTAGACACTATATTGGTCTTGATTTCCAGACTGTCTTGAAATCCACATACATTACTAAAGAGGCAAAATGACTTAGGCTTTGCTTAAAATTATTAGGTTATGTATGACTTAAGATATTAGGTTTTGCAAAAGTATGCTTAAAAAAATGTCAAACAAAATGAGTTGATTTTTTTCTTGTTTTAATCAAAAACTCGCTTAAATTTGAAAATCATTTCATATGCAAGATTTAATAGCTTATGCCATTTTGGATCTTGATTTAAGAATGTTTAGATATTTGTACTGGAAATCAAGACATTAATACTGAGTAAGAAAATCTTTTTTTGCAATGAAGTTAAAGTCTGAGGAGGCATATGAGATTAATAAACTCTTGAGGAACTGAGAGGATGTGTTATATGTACAATAAACTTAACAAGCCAGGGGCCATATTGCAGAAAGTTCATTACTCTGGAACTTATCTTATCTGTAGCCATACTGATATCAGTTAAAACCTGTCAGATCTAAATTTCATTCGTAAAGATATAAAGTTTATGTGATACAACCTAGGCTTTTATCTTAAGCCATATAGTCTGAAATTTATCTACAGAGAGCATCTTCAATGCACTAAAAGTAAACAATAAAAGACGAGATAGTCTCCAAAAATCTTTATTCACATTCATCTGATCCTTAAAATGACTTTTGCCATCATCTAACGCTTTAATCACTTAAAGTTAATCTTTACAAATTTGATAACACTGTCAAAATGTCATTTTTATCAAATCTCAAATATGCATTTTTAGAATGTACATACCTAATTTCACTTGTAGCATTTAAAATGATTGGTTTTATTTATTTGTTTATTTTTGTTTTGCTTATTTGTTTATTTTTAGACAAAATAATATTAGCAATTTATCAGCCTGACTGTTTTGAAGATTTAATAAGAATAATCGTTTTAATGTATTCATTCCGTACCTGAAATGCAAATGTAAATCTGAAATTATGTACTCAGGATTAACTGGAAAACTTATTCAAATGTATGAGTGGAATTGTGGGAACTTTTCATTTTCCTTTATGATTCAGTTTTTCCTCTATGGATGCAGTCTTTAAAGTCTCACAGATAACAGCAGAAGTCAGCTGAACTTGTTATACCTGCAGATTAATTATGGGCTTTGTAACCATAGCCTTTGTTGTGAAAAGCAAAAAGGGTTACAATCTCACTACTACATTCATATCAGTATCGCAAGTATGACCTCATCTTGCAATTGTAAATCTGTCTTGACCACGACTACAAGGTGTGTAAAGACACTCGCCACCAAAGCACTTCTGAGATAAATAAGTAATCCCTTCTGAGATAAAAAGTAAGTTCACCATCACTCACCCTGAACCGGTGCTGCCTGAAGTAGAGCTGGTGATCCAGTAGCAAATACAAGTAACAAAGTCCACATGTTCAGCGCTGTGTCATGTGCTAGATAAAGGGAAGTATACCTGTTTGTTGGCCCTGAACCGGTATAGTTCTTACAATGCTTTGATTCTCTTCCAGTCTGTAATTTTCTGAACCCTCTAGAGATGTACCTCACCTCTTTTATATGCTCAGACTAAAGTACTCGGTGACACACTCTGCGCAATGATAGGTGGTGCTATGAAGAACACACCCTTGTCATTGTCTCTCACACTTCCTCTCTATCTGCGTCTGTGCAGCCATTAACATGTCAGACACATTTGCATAACAGTTCTGGTTAATCTGGAGTTACAGTGACCAGTTTGTTTATGCATGCTGCAATTTTAGTATTGCATTAAGTACATGTGTAGTAATTTTGTACTGTACTACTTGGACTGATCTAAATAAAATGATTAATGTGTTCAACTGAAGGGAGTCACTTACAGAGCATTGTATAAAACATTGGACCCACGTTATATTAAGTGCCTTTAACTACTATGTAATAAATTAATAATTTGATGCAATTCACTTACTGTGCATATTATTATTATTTTTTGTACTTATATTAATATTTGGTAAAATATATACTGTATATGCATGGGTCATTCCATAATTTAGGTACATTTCATGTCATTGATGGAATTGTGTTTATTTCTAACAATTTTCTTCAGAAATATCAAATTTGATCAATTAAGAGAATACGACATATATTTTGTGCACTCTGTTTTTCGGTTGGCTTGAAAATGTCTTTTTATGTCTTGTCAAAAAAAATTATGTCAAAAAATTACAGTATTTGCAATTCTACTTTTTGAATTGAGTGAGTCTTGAGTTCATAATAATGAATAAAAATGTTAAAGTCAAGATTATCTATTAATTAACTAAGTTTATTTCTACAATCTAAATACCTCAGAAAAACAGGCTAGGTTTAAATTGAATTTTGTTTACCAAATACCCCTTAAAAACTAAAAAATGGTTTATCATAAAACTGTGACCAGTGTCATGTGATGGCATTTGCTTCTGTGGCAGACATTATGAACACATTATGATAATTTTTGTTTTTTTCTATGCTTGAGCTCCAACAACTTATTTTCAAGGAGTATATTATTATCCTGTCAATATATGGTGGGTACATTATTATTGTTTGCAATTGTTCTATGATTTTAATTCAAATAAATATATAAGAAAATAATATTTGGTTGGCCAGACAAGGCCTGCCATTGTTAATGTGACTAGAAGAAACCAGGTATGCTACTAGATGGATTTAGACACTATATTGGTCTTGATTTCCAGACTGTCTTGAAATCCACATACATTACTAAAGAGGCAAAATGACTTAGGCTTTGCTTAAAATTATTAGGTTATGTATGACTTAAGATATTAGGTTTTGCAAAAGTATGCTTAAAAAAATGTCAAACAAAATGAGTTGATTTTTTTCTTGTTTTAATCAAAAACTCGCTTAAATTTGAAAATCATTTCATATGCAAGATTTAATAGCTTATGCCATTTTGGATCTTGATTTAAGAATGTTTAGATATTTGTACTGGAAATCAAGATTTTGTTTACCAAATACCCCTTAAAAACTAAAAAATGGTTTATCATAAAACTGTGACCAGTGTCATGTGATGGCATTTGCTTCTGTGGCAGACATTATGAACACATTATGTTTACCAAAGTTTTTTTCTATGCTTGAGCTCCAACAACTTATTTTCAAGGAGTATATTATTATCCTGTCAATATATGGTGGGTACATTATTATTGTTTGCAATTGTTCTATGATTTTAATTCAAATAAATATATAAGAAAATAATATTTGGTTGGCCAGACAAGGCCTGCCATTGAAATTAGTCAAAATGGTGAAATTGGTCAAAATAGTTGACAAACTGAAAACCTTTTTTTTTTGGTAATATCAAAATAGTTTCATGATTAGGCTTGGCAACTAGCAGATAAGTTACACTGATAAAATGTATAAACTGAAACCAATAGTTGTTTATTGAGAAAGCATATTGTTTTTGCAACCTTTTCCTGATGTGAAATGTACCCTAAATTATATAAATACGCCTGCATGTACCTTTAACCCAGGTTTAAACCTAACTATACCATGAATACCATGAACACATGAGGGTGGCCTCATGTATTATGGTGAGTCAGTGCGAACATGCTGTGGTGTGGCTGACTCAGGTGTGTGGAAAATGGCCTCGCCCTCATGTGTGCTGATACACGTTCACTTCCTGATTCAAGTGCGGGAAGAAAGTGAAGGTGGCTGGTAGGAGGTTATCACATTTTTTTTTCATGTTGGATCTTGTGGATTTAAATGGAACTCAATAAACTACTAAATAACTTGGCAATTTCCTTAACATTTTACCTATGAAGCTTATCAGAAGTATCATGAGTCTCTTGAGTCAATTCAGTCTATGACATTGGAACATATTGAGAAAGGGGGAAAGCATTATTTATCATTCCCGGCTATAAAGGATATTTGTTTTTCTGGAGTTATCATTACAAGATAAGTAAATGAAAGACCATGAGCTGCATAATTGTGCAAGTGGCCAGTATCAAAACTGTGTCTAACTTGTGTGATAGAATAGGTTTAATAAAGTCACGTTCTTGGGCTCAGTGTTAAGGCTGTAAACTAGGAGTCAGTTTGTGCAGTCATGCATTTACAAAAACACACTCATTTCCTTAATATATTTCTAAACACACATAAAGTTCACAAAATGGATTTACAAAACAAATGTGGAGCTAAGATCATATAAACAATTCATATATAATAAAAAATGATCCAACAACCCGTTTCATTGAAATAGACTTGTTCGGCATTGCTGGGAACGCCCACAAAAACGTCATAACCGTTTATGCCGAGCAGTGTTGCCAATTTAGCAACTTTTCAGATTACCCTAGCAACTTTTTCTTCCAAAAGCACCTATAGCAACAAATGTAGCTATTTTTTTTAATTTTTTGGACAACTTTTAGCAACTTTTGATAAGTGACTCAAACGATAAAAAAGCACATATTTTATCTAAATTAGACAAAAAGAGGAAACCAAAGATGACTAGCAGTGCACACATTAAGTTAACTGCTATTTGCAATTGTTCAATAATAATTAGGTGTGTTCGACTTGAAGCGGCGCTGCGCAGACCGATCGGTGTATGACATCAAAGTACCGTGAGAGCTAATAGAGAGAGGGCCTGCATGATTTCTAATCGCTCTCGCGGTGCTTTGATGTCAAACACCGATCAATCTGCACAGCGCCGTTTCAAGTCGAACGCACCTATTATGATACACCTTGCTAGTAGCTTGTACCTGTGATTGTTGATCAGTTAGTTGATCTAGAAAAATGGAAAAGGTAGTAAATTTCCAGGACTTTATCCATTATCCATTATCTGTTGTAACCCTGTAACCCAAAAACACTAAATACAATGCGGAATTTAAAATGTAGGTAAAAAAAAAACCCTGTGAAAAATCAATATGGAAAATTCCTTCATATTAACATAGTAGACTATTTTTACAGGCTTTTCTTAGAGTGTAGCATACTAACAAACTACTAATACACTGCTTAAAACTAATTGTTCAGAATGTGCTAATAATTTTTTTTTTACTAGCTAATAAAAAAAAACATTGTAATTGTTAAAAAAATGGTAAGTGTTCAATAATTTAATGTTGCATTTAAAAATACAGTTATTTATATTTTAATATTAGCCTATTATATTGTGCATTTATATTATTTTACGAACAAATCGAAATGAACATATATAAATTATATTTTTTGCTGAGATTTGATGCAGTGACACAATTTTGCGTCGTGATGACATCATCGCACAATGACAATGGCACATTTAGCAACAAATCGACCTTCCTTTAGCAACTTCCCATTAGAATTAGTTGGCAACACTGATGCCGAGGGGGAAAGCAAACCATTCGAATTAACGCGCGGAGACCTTGTTAGGCGCTTGATCTTCACTTTTTGTGATGATTTCGATTGATTTTTGCTTGGTGCAATGCCGAAAAGTTGCTGTGTGGCGTTCTGTACCTCTAATAAGTTAAAAAACCTGATCTGACGATGTATATGACTGATACACTGCAATGATCTGTCGTTAGTCCCGTCCCCCTGCGGCGCAACCCAGTTCTGATGGGGCTTACAGTAACCCTCCTTCGCATCGCAATCAAACAAATCTCACTCCCTGATATTTTTTTGTGATGTCATAATCTAACAAAACATTTATTTAATATTATTATACACAATCCCTTACGAAAATTAGCAATGGCATTACTATAGTAGGTTAACCATGTTTTATTTTTATATTTTTGGGCGTTTTTATTACCAATTGTAGCCTAACCACAGTTTTACTACAAATACCATGGTTAAACTATGGTTAGTGTAGCAAAACATGTTGTTTTTACTATGGCTTAACTATAGTAACCAATAACCATGTTTTTATTTTGGTATTTTATATACATATTTTCATGTTATCTTTATTTTACGGTATGTATTTGTGAAAATGATTAGGCAGCCGCAGCACACACCACATAGAATAACGCTGCGCATTTCAAGGCACTTCAGTGGACCTTAATGTTACCTGTTTTGTCAATGTTCATTTTTTTTTATATCAATAAGAAAGTACGACAGGCTTTTACTGTCCGCAAATTATATTTCCAATCCTGGAAACTGAGCAAGAGAGAGAAGCCCTGATGCTGCCTTCCTGAAATGAGCTTCTGCAGGGTTGTCTGTGTCTGCAGAGAATCCTCATAGTTTTTCATGAACACCTATTCTCACAACTAGCAGTCTGTGTAACAACATTTCTCTGTTATAGTAGGTCTTCCATTATTCTTAAAAAAAAAGGGGGTTATGTTACTGTTTATATCTGAAATGAAATAATATATATATTGAATTTATAAATGTGTATATATATATATATATATATATATATATATATATATATATATATATA